TTGGATTACTATATATATATATATATATATATATATATATTATAGTGTTGTTCCTCCGATAGCTTAAAGTTTGTGTAAGGGATCGATATGCTGCTGACCAATTAACATCGTCTTTCCTTTTGGTCAAACTTTAGAGTTAGATTGAAATTAATGTGAAGTTATATGCTAAAACATTTGATCAATAAAAAAAGAAGTTACACAGTCGCTGCGTTAAATCTCATTAGGATAGACAAATTAGAACTAAATAAACCAGAAAAATGATCTCTTAAAGGTATTCAATATGCAAAACCCCTGCTGGTAGCAAGGCATATATATATCTTTATAAACTTTTAGTACTAATTAAGAATCTCTTTCTGAAAAGTTGCAATAGGGTCCCCTCCCAGCCCCTTTTTCTCTCTTTACTCCAAGGTTGATTCTTAACAAGCATGTATAAAACTATTTTCATTCTTGTGTCAATTTGCTGAAAACTTTCACGAATACTTCCAATTGTAAGTATCTTCTTTCTTTAACATTTTCTATTTCAAGAAATAAAATTACTTGGGTCATCCTTAATTACTTACTGTTTATATTTACAACCATATCTTACTTTATATATAGTTTAAACTTCGAATTTCATGCAGGGACAAAAGGTCAACATGGAATCCTTCTTCAGAATGCTTGGTATTGATTTGATTAATATAACATTAATTGATTTTTGTTTCCACTCCTATTTTTATAATAATTAGGGCAAAACTTAAAAGACAATGTCATTTTCTTGTCTACAGCTGTAAACAATGCAGATCTTTTTGCAATATACGTTCTAGAGGTGATGGTAACATATTTAACTGATGTTTGGAACCTTAACTTGACACATGCCACTGCCATCATTAATATATTCGTGGGTGCACGTGACATGCTTCTCGTTGGAATGGTCTTCCTCGTGGATGCTGTTCTGGGTTTCCACCACGTCTTCCTCATTTCAGCTATTCTAAATTGCATAGTATGTGCTATTATCAAAACCACAAATTACTACATTTTATTTCGTTTGGCAGTGCAGTTTTGCAACTTTAAAATCATTCCAATGAATCTCTGTAATCTCAACTGCATTGCCAAAGGAAAGACCAATTGAGTTGTGTCCCTTCTCGGTTTAAGACGTGATTGTTTGAGGGGTAGAAAATCTTAAAATATGAATTATTAATATTTTCAGCTGTTATTATGAGAAAAAGGTGCAATTGTTAAAATTAAAATGCAATACCTTAATTTATAGTCCGCTAACTTTTTTATTTTTAAAATTATTTCCTTTTTAGTTGACAAGAGTGAGAGCAAAATTCTCACTTGGCATAGTAAGTTAATTCAGCATATAAATGGAAGAAAAGAAGAAACATGCATTAAATGTATCATTTATTCCATAGTGAGGGCACTGATGGAGATTTATCTCTTATTTTGACCCGTTGCATGTCCTAAACAGAGATGAATTTTTCACTCTTTGTAAGCTAACAACGTCAAAATTAAAATGTTTTCTTCTTATATATTTGATTTAGATTTTAATTCTTTATTTTTATCAACTCAAACAAAGAAAAAAGTTTAAGAGTTTGCTTTCAGCTTGGACAGGAAGTGAAAACGTGAATATTTTGAACTAGCAATGACTTTCAACTTTACCACTGAAATAAGAAAATTTTGAAAAAAAGTAATATCAAAATTTGTTGGGTCAAAACTCAAATTTTCAAATTCAAATTTTTATATTATATAAGTACAAAAGATATATTATCCCTTTTTATTAAGATATATTTATTTTCAAGATTTACTTTTTTTTATTTTATAATATTAGCTAGGATGCAAGATCAATAAATGTATTTTTTAAAAAATTTAAAAAATGACCTAACATATGGGTTGGGGAGGGGGTTAACACCCTAAATGAAGAAAAATTATTAAATCAAATATTCATTTTTGTTTTAATTTTCTATCAGAACTTCTTATAACAATTAATTGGATGAATATTTTTAACAATATACAATGCCCATGCCATGTTATAGGGAATGATCTTATTAGCACTTTCTTCAGCACCAATACTTTCCAAGGAGTTAAGCAACACCCAAAAGAGCCTATACTATACTTCCTTGCCCCTCCTAGCCATTGGATATGCCGGGCATGCAGCTTCTTACCAAAGGTCATTGGAGTCCCAAATTGACAAGAAAGTCACTTATCAAGAGCTGTGGAATAACATCAAAGAGGGAGTAAAGATTATGGCTGTAATTATTTGTGATTACAGACTCATGATAAAGTCTTATAAATTTATTGGTGGCATCACCACTTTTGTCCTCTCGCATGTTGGTGGTTTTGCAATTCAATTCGTGAAATCATGGGCACTTCGTTTTGGCGTTGCCACTATCTTTGTCACCGTATCTACGCTTTTTTACTTGACAGGGATTGGTTCTTATAGAAAGGGCACTCCAAGTGGAAGCCCTATCACAACGTTCTTTAGAGTCATGGTGGCATCTTGTTCCAAAAGATCCTTAACCCTACCAAGAGATGCAAATGAGCTTTATCATGAAAATGTAGTTCCCGCTATGTCTCATTCTAATCGCCTCAGGTAGTTTTCGTTGCCTGCATCTTTTCGTTATTTTTCCCCCTTTTATGAATTATGTAAAGAGATTCATCAAAAGTGAATTTGTATTTATATGTATGGATCATTTGGGGTTCTCTTCTAGAAGTATATCACCTTTCTCTTTCTATTTATGAGGCTAATCTAAAATTTATTTTAACAAGTGTTAGAAATTAGTTATTCTTTATTTTTAAATTTATATTATAAAATATACTTTAATTATAATTGCTGGAAAATAGTAAAATATCAAGTAGAATTTCATTCAATACGTCATGAATTAACCAAGCAAGTGAATTTTTGAAGGATTTTTTCAATTAAACGCTAAGGTAATTTTAAAATAAAAACGGTTAGTTGATTTGATTAAATTAAAATAGCTCTAGCTCTTGGGTGTGTTGGTACGTTTTTGCATGGGTCATGAGACAACATATATAATCAGTATTGGATGCATCGCTAAATTGTGGTAATTAAGTGATATATTTTCCATATTTTTCAGTTAAGAAAGGAGATCTCTTCTTACATCTAACTTAAAGAAAACCTTAAGATATCAAATATATGGGTTTTTATGTTACATAATATATCTATCTCTACGCACTTAACATCAAATTTCTATTTTCACTGGCACACTCACAGTATGTTGTATTTTAATTTCATTTTAATTTTATAATTTAATTATATGTTTAATTATTTTGATATATTTATTAAATCAAATTTACTTAGCTTGCCCTATATATTAAGTCTTAATTAGTAAAAAAAAAATTGTTCAAAACCCAGCTTGCCACATATATTCATTGATATATAAAGGAACGAAGAGTATTTCTCATCATTGATAAAAATAAATAAATAAATAAAAATCTGTCTATTTCTGCATGCATGCAACACCTTAACCGTGTGCCTATATATTTTTCTCATCATGTACGTATCTGAATGCAGGTGCCTAGACAGGGCTGCCATTATAGTTCCCAACACAACCCTAGAAGAACAAAAACTTAACAGATGGAAACTCTGCAGTGTAACTGAAGTAGAAGAAGCTAAGGTCATTTTTCTCATGATACCGTTGTGGATGAATTTCGCAATGTGTGGGGTTGTTACTTCCATTGGAAGCACTTACTTTATGGAGCAAGGAAACCGAATGAACCCTTATCTAGGAAAATTGAAGCTCCCTCTTTTCACACTTCTGGTGTTTCACAAATTGGTTGAGTCTTTGTTCTCCTTTCTCTGTGGCTTAGTGAGAGTGAGAGATAAGGTACGTGATAACCGAAGAAAATATGTGGCTCCAATTGGAATGGCCGTGGCGATGCTATGCTCCATATTGTGTTGCATAACTGCAGCTGCAGTTGAGAGGAGGAGATTAGATGTTGTTAAAAGTCATGGATTAATGGATAAAACCAAAGACAAAGACAAGATTCCTATGACCATGTTTTGGCTTATTCCTCAATATGTTTTCCTCAGTGGCCTTAATGGAATATCTAATTACTGTTCTACACGTTTCTTCAATGATCAAGTTCCTGAGTCACTGAGTGATTACTTGTTGGCTATCTCACTTGGTGTAACTGGAGCAGGAATCATGGGGAGTGTTGTCACAGTTTATGCAGTAGGCAAGGTGAGTGAAATTGGAGGGAATCCAAGTTGGTTTCAGGACACGTTAAACAAAAGTCGTCTAGACAATTATTATTGGTTCTTGGCTGCGTTAAGTTCCATAAATTTAGTGTTATATGCTTTGGTGGCTCTGCAATTTTTGTATAGAGATTCAACGAAGTCAGAAATTGAACCTCCAGAAGAGGGGACAGTTACTGAGGATACCAAATGTTTGGACTGCTTTAATTAGTTTGTGTCAATCATAGTTTTAAATTGCGGTTGAGGTCGCGGTTGCGGTCGCGGTTGCAGTTACTGCGGTTGCGGGTATTGCGGGTATTGCGATGCGGATTGCGGTTGTTGCGGTGTGAGATTATTAATTATTTTCACTAAATATAAAAAATTTATAATTATCAATATATATTTTATTTTTAAGGATTTATACATTTTAATTCCTTTTTTTTAAATATTCTATTATTTTAATGAATAATTTAATTTATTTTAAAATTATAGTATCAATTTATCGTATTGCGGATGTATTGCGGTACATTGCAGATGTGTTGAGGACGCAACACCGTTACGTTGCGGAAAAATGTGTGATTTCCAGTATCATCGCAATTGCGGTCCAATGCCGTTGCGGACAAGGCCGCAACAGTAATATTGTGGCCGCAACACGTGTTGCGGTCCGCAATTTAAAACCATGGTGCCAATCATGGACAGTCAATCTTTTCCCATCTCCTTTTGTTCTATATTTAATGCTGATATATGTATAACTAATACGGATGTTAGTATTTCAATTATATTTTTAATTCAAATAAAGTATTCCACATTTTAATTCATAGTTTTTATTCTATTTTGTCAAGTAATAATTTCAAAACAATTGTAACTAAAATATATCAAAAAGGTATTGTGAAATAACTACATTTTTGTATTTGCGAATCTTAAATATTGTTCTTAATTTACGTACTCCATTTCAGCAATAATAATGGATTAGAATTCAAATATCAAATTTAAAGGGTTAAACGATAATTACTAGTCTAACATAAATTCTTGATTATTTGGACAACCTAATTTTCAATGAAAAATATTGTTTCGATAAAGGATAATCTTAATTTAAATAGGTTAAGATTTAATAGTGATCTAAGGATTAAGAAACCTAGAATTGTGACTTTAATTGTCCTTAATTCCCTCAATCTAATTTAATTGAACCCAATTTTGATTGTCAACTATACCTCTCAAGTTGCTGATCACTTTTGATCACGAAAATTAGAATTTTTTAGCTTATACAAATCTTAAATCGGTCATATGGCAATCCATATATACCAGAAGAATCATGAATAACAACGAGGTTTATTATATTAATTAACCTAATTGGAAGCATAGAAAACAAGCTAGTGTGGTCATGCAAGTTTCTAAACTCAATTATCTCAATTGTGATCTCATTAATCAATAATTATTGTTCATGTGCTATTAATTAACTATGACAATACTAAGATTGTTAAGAGTCTCACATTAAGTATAATATGAAGTTTAATGTGGTATTTAAACCTTAAGATTCACCAACCTAATGGACTAGCTTTTGGGTTCGGGTTCTCTTCATGTACTCAATGTGAGACTTCTTATAAAGATTTAGACTTATTGTAATTATTAATTAAAATAAATAGTTCAAATTAAAATAAACTTGCATATCAAAGGCTCAACCTACAACCTAACTTGTAATTTAGTTGCATGGCAAAGAAAAAGAACAAAATTACAATGAAAGACATTAAAAATGTGAAAAGGAAAAACCACTACAAGTAATTCCTTTATCATTAAGTCTATCTTTTCTTCCAGAATCTTCTTCTCTCTCACAGCTCTTAGAAAAATATTAGATTATTACAAAAAAGAAGTAAAATAAAGTTACAAATACTTACACCCTCATTTCAATTTATAGTTTTAAAACTTGCAACCCTTATATATCACCACCACTAAATTTCAACATTGGCATACTCTTTTAACACGGTAGTGTTATATTTTAGCAAAAATGTGCTCCCTCAGCATGACCATGCTCTTTATTCAGCATAGGTGTGCTCTTTTTGCATGATCATGTTTTTTATTTAATAACATAGTGTGTTTCTTCAACATAACCAAGCTCTTTATTTAGCAAGGGCATGTTGGCTTTATTTTAGAGCATACTTTCTTCAAATATGCCACCTTTTTCTAACTCTTTTCCAATTAAATTCTAGAGCACTTATTAAGTGTGTACTTAGACAAAAAGGTGAGTTTTGTCAACATGTTTATGTATTAATGGGATAAAACTCATCAAAAATACCCAACCATGATGCAACAATTATAGGTTGAACTATCATAAGGTAAGATTTATATATTTGTGTGTACATATGCACAAAGATGTTAGAGTATAGAAAATATACAAATGTAAGTATATACATACATGGTTTCCAAAACTAAAAGCTTAAGTAGTTCCTCTATATATCATTTTGTATGTATTGGTTTCAATTTAGTCCTCAAATAGAAGAAAATTTAAAAAAAAATCCTAAAAGTTATTAACATTTGTCCCTAGGTAGATAGTTGTTAAGTAAGTCCACAAAGAACCGATGTGGTATAAGTGTCAAGTATTATCCTAGTTATATCAAGGACTAAAATGAAGTCAATAGAAACTAAAATGAAATACTTAAGTATTTTTCTCTTTATTTTTCAGTTAAACCATCACTTACTCATCTTTCTACCTTCTATATATATTTTTTGTCTTCTCTCCCTTTTCCATTTTGCCTCTCTATCTTTTCTTCATTTTTCTCTCTTCCTTTTTTCTCTTAAACTTCTCTTTTTCACCCATTCCTTCCCTTATTATTCCATTTCTCTTAACTTTCCTTGTTTTCCCTTCCTTTCCTTTTCTTTTATCTCTCATCTTCTTCATTCTTTTCCCCCTATTTTATTTTCTTTTACTCCCTTTCCTCTCTTCTCTTTCTCTTTCATTTCTTTTTCTTTCTTCTTACTTTGTTGCATGGGTATCAACGGATCAGAGGTTGAATTGTTATTTATTTAAAAATTTGCTCTTTTTGAAAATCTAGTAAGTCTTTTAAGTGTTAGGACTTAGTCTAAAATAGTTTCTGAGTTTACTTGTTTGTGATTTAAAATATGTAGTAGTTTAATAATGAATGCAATAGTTAATCAAGCAAGTAAAGAGATAAAGTGAGAGAAATTGAACACAAAATTTATACTGGTTTACCCCAACTAGGCTACATCCAATCCCCACACAACCTTGTGGGATTTTGACTAAAATACAACTAGCTGTTGTTCAAGAACTCAACCGCATATTGTTAGTAGCAAACACTCAACCACTTGTTGAGATTTCCACACTCAACAATTTGTTGAGAAAATAGTCCCACAACCACTTACTATAAGACCACACAACACTTGTGCTTTCTTTCTCATTTCCTACACCATTGCATACTTAGTTTTGGGTAGGGAAAGTGTTTATAATAATGGATCTTTGTGTTCTTACAAACCAAGTATACAAATATGAAGTGGAAGCCTCTAGAAAATTAAAAATATGAAGCAAGAATGTAACTAATTGTGCTTACCCAAAACTATTGCAACATATTTGTATACTTGTTTCAAAATGAGACATATGTCTACCCTTTATAGTCATTTATAAAAATATTCGTTGTGGCTTGCTTATTTTTTAAGTTAGATGCCAATATCACTGAACTTTACTTTTTCTAGTCCTATCAACTTTTTTATAGATGAGGTGTCTTTTGAGTAAGACTTCACTTTATGTCTTCTGAACTAGGTATTAAATACAAGTCTTATGAGAAGCTTTGTTTTAATTAAAGTCTTATAATAGTTAGCTTAAAACGCTAATCTTCTTAACCAGGTCTTCAAGATATTTTACCTAAGAAGAAATATTTAACTTAAATATTTATTATCAAAGACTCTGGATACGTATCTTCTTACTTGGGATAGACATATCTTTAATGATTATAGGCAATCCATTATAACTGAATTTTCTTTATAAGGATGTCTTGTGAATCTCATTTATTGTTCAAGAATCATGAGCTCATGTAGCCTTCTAATCAAACTTAAATAGTATTTAAGGTGAAGAGATAGAAAGGAAAAATATAAGAGGGAGAGAAGAAGAAAAAAAGAATATGAAGGTAAGATGAGAGAAAGGTAAAAGATGGAAAGAAGACCAAAATGAAATAGTCATACACATTCAACAACCAAAGTGAAACCACCATACATATTTAGGAACCAAAGTTGAACCACGTACATATTTAGGAACCAAAGTTGAACCACCATACACATTCAAAACCAAATTGATGGTTCAACCAAGAAATAAAGAAAAAAAATTAAATATTTTAATTTTTAGTCCTTGTTTAGTCCCTATTGATTTCATTTTAATTAGTTCATGGTGTGTTAATGACAACTAGGATACTACTTCACATTTAACGTATCATGTTAGTGTTCTTAATGACACATGGGGAAATAGGCATGAAAGAATAATGTTTTTAGGAAAAGATGATTGAAAGACAAGAAGAAAAGAAAAATATTGAGATTTTACGTGGATAACCATGTAAATTAGTGGGATACTCATGAAGAGTGGGTTTTAAAGATTATGAAACTAAAATAAAAGTATATCATTATATAGCTTGATATGGATTCAAGGATAAAAGTGTCTACCAAAAAATAAAGACCAAAAGAAAGTTATCATATGAAGCAATGTTGTTATAGACAAAGGCTATGGTACTATCATTGTATGTGGTTTATGGTGCACTTAGATTCATTTGATGTGCATATTTATACTCTACTACCTCCACACTCAATTATTCCCCTTCTCTCTCCACAACCCCTTTCCCTAGTCTATCTCATTCATGGTCAAAGACTCAATTATCACCTTTCGGACTCTAACTCCATTAATTGTACCATACTTAATTGACCCATGCTTATGAGCAATGGCATATGTGTGCTCTTAAATGATTTGGAATGCGAGATTGGTAACAACCAAATTACAACTTACAAGCTTTTGGGTTTTGGCATTATTTTGTGAGAAACTTGTGGCATTTGGGGTGATTTCCCCAAAGCTCAGAAACAAACCATGCAACCACCCTTTTGATCCTTCAATCTTGAAGAATTTAGAAAACATAAATCAAACTCAAACATCGACATTACAATATTTTTTGCGCTTAGAAGATCTTCCTCGAACAACCCAATGGTTGTTGTCTGTTGTGGAGTTTTCTTGACCATTCATCCATACTTCTTTGAGAAGCTTCAATAATAGAACACTACCTTCTTTAATATTGAGTTTTCCATAATGGTTAATGGTTGTCGACATCAACTATGAGAGAGACAGATTAAGAAGACAGGCAGTTGT